GAAAGTTTCTCTGTGCTCACTGATAATCAGATTTTTAAGGGGCGGGGCTTATGAGCCTGATTTGTGACGTCACAAAAAGTTTGAAAGTCAAATACTAGTCCAATATGCACTTAAGTGTGATGTAGAAACTTGAAGCTACCAGTGCACATAGACTGAGAATGAGTGAAGTAGGAGACATCTTGTGTCCAACTTTATAATTTAACCAAATTTGCATATTTGCATAAGTTTTATTGAGGTAGAAGGAGGAGATGTCTTTTAAAGGATTTTAAAGATGAAAACCTGCACGCTGTCTAACTTGTAAGACTACATGCATTTTGCCTGATGAAGGTCTAGTACCCAAACGTTGCAAATAAATGTAGTATTGCAGGTTAGACACAGTGCGTGGGTATTCATCTTTGCCACTTTTTGATACTTATACTACTCCTACCCACCTGCCTCATGAAATTACATACCGATAGAAGCATTTTTTCACATGTTTCATGTTTGTTTTTTTTGCAAAGAATTTAAATTTTCCAAACAGATTATTAGTATACATCTTAATATATGTGTCTGTAGGGGATCTTTAACAAATATGAGGTGCACTGGCATGAAATTCATGAACTCCAGAGGATGAAGTCCCACTGACTTCTGTGACTTTTCATTTAGTGCCACCATGAGGTTCACTTTCTTGATTTTTATTTTAACTGTTGGTTGGATTACCATGAAATTCAGTCCAGACACTCAGGATGAAATGTAATAATTTCAGGTGAGCCCTTAACGTTTCATCTGGTGCCGTCATCTGTTGAAAATGTATTGTATGTATGTATTTATGTCCCAAAATACCTGCAAAAGTAATGACATTCCCATCAGGCTCAGCTGTACATTATGTGTAGTGCTAATTAGCTGACATGATAAACTAAGATGGTGAACATACTAAACATTACACGTAACACTGTACATACACGTGTTTGATTAAAGCGTCGTAAACCACTGAAATGCTTTAAATATCTTTAAAAATAAATAATATAAATGAACCAATTTAAATGGCACATAGGTTTATTTGTGTGTGTATCCTAATTTGTTGATTAATAGTTAATAAACAATAAGTAATAATAAATAAAAACAGGTTTTAGGGTTGCCAGGTTGTGAACATCCTCCCCTTCTTACTGTCCATCCTTCAGGTCTGACTCCAGACACACCAGGTTTGTCAGCTCCTCTGATGTGTCCTCTGGATCTGAGTCTGAAAACTCCTGACGGGCTGAACACACACACACATGCACACACATTTCAAAGGAAATTAAAGGACATAAACACTTAAATGTTGCTGGATTAATACCATTATTTCCATTTCAGCCACCCAGAAAACACCCAGTGACTGCAGTGACATTCAGTGACAGACCAATAACCTGATAACCTGTTATTCAATCAATAAAAGTGACAGGTTACTCACGTGGTTTGGTCCCGGACATGTTTCTGATTCAGTTGTAACTCCACCAAGATACACAAACCGCCTCCAGAAACATTAAAAGCTAATCAGATCCTCCGCTGAAAGTAGTTTTTCCGAGTTCACAGGTTGTTTTCTGCTCAGCAGCTCAATGATGGGATAGAAGTCCGTTTCCACGGCAACTGGTCCATCCCCAACCCTCATCCCTTTGATCCTTGGAGACCATGAAACGTGGCCGATTTGAGTTTGATGAAGATTTAAAAAATAAAAATAAAAAGGTAAAAATCTACCAAAAGTTTAGTCTACTTTTGGGTCTCCGGTGACTGAGCGGTTTGGGTGATGTCACTGGTCGTGTTCAGCCCCGTTATTGTTGAAGAGAAAAGGCGATGGTGGTCTTTTGTGTTTCACTGCGGCGGTATAGAGAGAAAGGCTGACGAGGCAGTCGACCCTGAATGGACAGGCGACAAAGAGGCAAAACCGGAGGTGGAACCATCACATCTCAGTCGGTTCAAGTTTCAAGACTCACCCACTGCAAAGATCAAGGATTTAAAAACAGAAAATCATCCGGTTATTAAATGTTAAAAGAGATTAGTAATGGGCAGCAGTGGAAGAAATACTCAGCAGTAAATAAAGATCCTGCAGAGGAGTATTCAGTAAATATTCACACACACACAGATACACACAGGTATATGGGCCACCAGGTGAGCTACCTGAAGCCTCAGAGGAATAACTTATTGTTAGTAAGAGCTTGCTTATAGTAGGAAGAGTCTCTTTATATCACTTTATAAGGAGTAATAAGGATATACCTGCTCTATATTAAGAGCCCTGAGTTCATTTCTGTTATAAGTTGCCGCTGTACAAATAAAATGTAATGTAATTTAATTTAAATAATAGTAAAATTAAATATTTTTTTTTTCAACCCTCTCAAGGATCCCTGACAACCACTGATTATGATAATGTTATGATAATGTTAGCTCTTAGCACAGAAAGTCCAGCCTTTACAGAGCTGCTGACATGGTTTGTTTATTGTGATATTTCTCCTTTATTATTATAATGTTATTATTTTATTTTTTATTTTATTAATTTTTACGTTAATTTGTGGGTATTGTGGTTCCATTTGTTATCTGTAGATGGTACTTTGTCTCCTGGATATGAACACATACATAGTTGCCTCATATTGTAGCTAATGGTCTAGTGTTTCTTTTTATACCAGGAAAGACGTCAAGCCATGATGTCCTGTGATGACCATGACCCTTCACCCATTACCAGTGACCAGTTTATCAACCCAAAGTGAGCGGAGGAATGTGTGTTAGAACTGAACTCAGGAGCACATGGGATTTGAAGTGAACTCTGGGGGCGGACCAGGCTTTGTGGTAAAGTCTAGTTATGGATTTGAGATCAACACTTCTGGTTATTGGAGGATCTGCATGCTCTTTCAAACTGCTGAATCTGATTGTCAGATTCCTTCCAGCACCACAGACGGCTCGCAAGAAAGCCTGGAAGTGGAGGAATACCAGCACTTCTTTGGTTCACAGCTCGCTGACGGGAGCATGGGCTGTTTTATGGTGCGTAAAGACACGGTAATAAGGGATGGTACTGTCATTTATTTAAATTTTTTACTCTTCTCTTCTCTCTTTCTCACCATGTAGTTTGTACCATCAACCCCAGATGTTGGAGGACGTGATCTCCTCTTGTTCCACGTTCTCCCACAGTCTTGTGTCTGTGTCTACAGGTGACACACTTGCACTAACGCACACAAATTCCCACATTTACACACAGATTTACATCAACATCAACAGACAGATCAGTTGCACATTTCAATTATTTGTTATTCACTAATTAAGAAATGAAACAGGAAAATAAAAGTCCAGTGTGTAACATTTAGGAGGATATATTGTCAAAAATGGAATATAATATTCATTATGTATGTTTTCATTGGTGTATAATCGGTGTGTCTACAGACGCCACGGGTCGTTTCCGTGGAGTCTGCCATGTTTCTACAGTAGTCCAGAATGGACAAACCAAACAGTGGCTGTAGATAGGCTTCGTTCTCATTCCCAGGTTGTCAAATACAAATGGGAGCGGTGTTCAGTTAGTCGCAGTCTGCTGCACACTGGTCCTCTGCAACAGCCGTATTAATCATTTCTTCACAGTTTTTAGGCTTTTACAAGAAGGACTTCCAGGTCATGCAACAATCTGATCCTGGATTAAATCAAGGAAAACGTACTATACCTCACTTGCCCATCAAAGCAGGTTATATACTGACATTAATTTATGGGAATGATACAAATGTTTCCCACCAAAACTTCCTTTCTGCAGGGTTTAATAAAGAGTTTGAAAAAGCTTCAATCAAAACAGTGAAAAGAGGAATTTTTCTTCCTGGTGGCCACTTCTATTGAGCTGAAGATCACTGTGAGAAAGTACATTTTGACGTTTTACATTTCTAGATGTTTTGTATATGAATGTATATGTTTATAGGTGTTGCATACTTACATATAACTATATGTACTTTCTTCTACTCTAGGTTATTTTATCCATGACTTCTTGGACACAGCCTTGAACCAGCCCTTTAAAAAGTCCTGGGAAGTGCTCCTCCACCACTTTGTGGTAATAAACTTTAAACCTCATGTGTTTGTATTTAAAAGAAAACACTGTAAATAAATCAGAAGAGACACAAGAAGATTAAGGAACACATTCACAATTTAGCAGCAATATAACTGTGTGGATCGTTTTTGGATTTATTGTTGAGTCATTGAAGTAGGATTTGTAAGGACATAACACAAATATTCATTCAGTAATGTGCAGTGGACAGTAACTATGTGCATTTACTTGAGTAATTTACATTTGATGCTACTTTAACTTTAACTACGTGATGCTACATTTGATCTACTACATTTGTCTGACAGTACGTTTCTTTGCACATCAAGATTTTAGGTTCAAAAGATGTGATTATATCATGCATAATTTCATTATATGATACTAAAATACCCAACAGCATGACTGATTAACCTGTATGGGTTGTAAACTTTGTTGTTGGGCCCCTATTGCCCCTTTCTTCATCAAATACTAGAAACAAACAAGAGTTCCTATGCTAGGATATCAACTGGCCACAGGTTTACTTGTGAGTTAGCTGAGGGAGTTTGTTTTAATAACTTTATTTATGTACCATGTGAGGACAGTAAAAAACAAAATGAACTCTTAAAACAAGATTTTGACATATAAGACCCATCTTCATGGGGCCACTAGGGTCGGGGGAAGTTGTCCGGTATATAAGTATAAAGTAGATAAAACTGGATTTAATTTCATTAGCTCTGTCTTGACCAACTATAGCACTAATATCCTCCTCACATGTTAATGTAGTAGTAGTAATAATCTAATAATGTAATTAGCCTTTTGCTGATGATACTTCTGCACTTTTACTTTTACAAGAGTATTTTCCATTATAGTTATTATTACATTCACTTGGTTAGAAGATCTGAGTTTTTCTTCCTCTACTGGTAATGTGATGTTATGAATAATTAATAATAACTCTGTGAAGTTCCTAATATCAAAATATTAATTATAATACTGTGAGGTGTTCTTTTTAATAGTCCACCCCTTACATCTGTGTGTGTTGTGATAATGACAAGTTCAGTGAATAAAACTGCACAGTCATGTTGTTTGTAACTCCAATAGTGTTCAGCCTTGATCTGTGTGACACTTGACACTCAGGCAGCAGAGGTCATGACCCACCTCACCTCCAGCAGGGCAGCAGCTCATCGGCTCAGTGTGTGTGTGTGTGTGTGTGTCACTTTAGTGTCACAACATTGTAAAACATAAGACACATGTTTTGAGGCACTGTGTGGCTTTTTAAAACTGCTGATTTAACAGGAGAGGTGGTAAAAAATGTATTTACTTCACTCTGAGCACCACAGTTTCATTATAGTTCTGCTTGGTGCAAGTGTATGGGAGATTTATATATATATAAATAGTTTGATCACTTACCTTCTGGTAAAGCTTATCAATATTTTTCACTACAGAGGCCCTCCTGATCAATAAAAGAAATAACATATGAAACAGTTTATCTCAGTGGACATTATACAACAGCCAAAGGGACTTTTTGCAACTTGACAACCTAAGATGTATCCTTCTAAATACTTATTACAATGTATAATGATTGATTTATTTTATTAGTATTACTTAATCAGTTACTTCATAATCTGAACCCTTAGAAAGTTGTAAAGCAGTTGGTTTCTACGTTCATTAATTATTTTATTGGTAACTAAAAGTCACCTCAAAATATAAACATAATAATGTATTGGATTATAATTATGGATGCGTATCAATGTTGCCACCATTAAAGATGGAGCTGATTATATCCCCCTGGTGATCAATTATGCTTTATCTGTATATCTATAATATTAGATTATAATTTATTTGTTCATTATGTTTTGTATTATTAATCTGAATCTGCAAAGTAAACAGTAACCTACCAAATAAATGTAGTGGAGTAAAAAAGTACAATATTTCCCTCCAAAATGTAATAAAGCATAAAGTCAGAAAATGGAAATACTTAAGTAAATTACAAATACCTCAAAATAGAAAAACGTAAGTACAGAATTTGATTAAATGAACTTCCACCACTGGATTTAACTCTGGATTTAACCTTTGATTCTTGTGTTCAAACTTTTTTCTCAGGTGACGTCCTGCTTCAGTTTGGCTATAACGTCCCGTCTCTACCTGGGCTTTTCTGTGGCGTCGTTGCTGATGGAGATCAACTCTGTTTTCCTTCACATCAGACAACTCCTGCTCCTGTCAGGACAGAGGAACAGGTCAGGGACTGAAATTACAGCCCCTCGCTCCTCTGTGACCTACAGCATGACCAGCTGGCTCTGCCTGGGGACGTAGGTGGCTTCTCTTTACTCTCTTCACAACGGTCACGTGAAAAATCACAAGTCAAACTGCTTCTTGGACAAAACAGTTTTTATATGTGAGCAGAGGTGGCAAACTTACACGTGTCACATCTGTAATGTGTGAAATTAATTAATAAATAAATAATAATAATATTTCCCCTCAAATGCATTAAACTTAAAGAGGCGAGTCTGTTTTGAAAATGTAAGGACTATAAAGTACAGATACTTCTGTAATATTGTGGGCAGTAAAAGTAAAAAGTTGTCAGAAAAAGAAAAAAAAACTACTAGGGTACACTAACAAAGTATTTCTACTCAGTTACTTCTCACCTTTGTGTGTAAGTGTGTATATGAAATCAATTTTAACATCACAGGAAGATATTTCTAATCTGCTCTGGTTTTCATAAGTCCACACAGTCTCTCATTGATGACCTTCTCTTTTTGCAGGTTATTGGTGTTTCGTGTCTCTATAGCAGCTTGGATGGCCCGCTGGCTGGCAGCAGCTTACAGTAAACAAATACCTCGCTATGTCCTGATGACGGGCACAGTAGGCCTGAGTTTCATCTCCACCATGAACATAGGGCTGTTTTACAAACTGTTCAGAGCAGACATCCTCACCAAAACACATAACACCAGCAAGAACCACTAGAGGGAGTCAGCTCTGTGTTTCTCACCCATGACTGTGTTTGCTTGTAACTTGTAATGTTTATTATTAAAATAGAAAGCTAAGATAAAGTGAGACATAAAAATAATCAAGCAAGGCCTCACCAAAACACTATCTAAGCTGTGTTTAGTGTAAGTCTGACAATCTAATAACATATTGTCAGTTCAATTTAATAACTAAGCTATTCATCAAAGGGACATTATATAAAACCATACAAGTATTTGTTCATGTTGTGTTATTCCAAAAATGTAAATTCAGTGTCTACAATGAACATTAATAACTGCATTTCAAATGTATAAATGCACAGTGTAAATTATTGGAAGAGTTGTATGTGAACCTGACTCACAGCTGGATTTGTTCACTCTTATCCTGATTTCTTCTTAATTATATAAACTAGTGATAGAAACACCTGAATCAAAACATCAGTGGCTTTCTGATTACCTTAGTTTCTTTATTTAGTTTATTTTGGACATAATTAACTTTTATTCTCTTCTGGTACATACAGACATAACTCAAAGATTAAAGTCTAAACATTAATCTCAGGACTCGTGTTTTTATTGTTTTAAAAATATTTAAATGACAGTGGACGGCAGCAGCAGGGACAAGAGTGGACAACATGCAACGAGGTCCTTGTTTTATAACAACAGATTAGAGCAGCACACAGTAGCATGTCAGCGCTTTACACTACATCATGATCCTCTTCTGCTGGAACAAGTTGACCAGAGTGGGACCTTTGCAGCTGGTTTTGGTTTGGACTTCCTCTTTGATGCGCGGCAGGTGAATCTTCTCCGTCCTGCACTCTCTCTCATAGTAAGGACACACCTTCAGGTGCTCGGACATGGACGGCACATCCTGAAAGCACCAAGTGTCCACAGGCGTGAACAAGGTGCTGAATTGCCATACCTGAAGTCACAGAGAGAAACAGATGACTTTATTATTATTTATTATTATTGAAAACTTTTAAAACCTTATTAGTTAAGGTTATAGTTTATAGTAGTTATAGTTTAATTAACTTTAAGCAGTGATTGTCCAGGTGCCAAAACAATAATAAGTATTATCAGCACTTTAGGTATCAAAGGTAAATGTACTTAGTAGTAAGTAAGTAGTTAAATGGCCCCTATGAGTAATATTTATATGACACTATTAGATTGTACTGATGGATCAATGTGCTCTAGTTGGTGGAGGGGAGCTCGTTTGAACTACTTTATATACAGTGGTTGAGTCCAGGGGTTCCCAACCTACCGGGGTCGGACCCCTTCCTATGGGTCAGATTATAAATCTGAGGGAGTCGTGAGATGATTTGTGGAAGAGGAGAGAAGAAGAAGAAGAAGTTCTGCTACAGAAATGTGTTTATATTTTTGGGACTTTTCTTTCATTTATTCGTGAAATGTTGGATACATTTAAATGTGTAGCCAGCTAAAAGTCTATTAGTTATTCGCGATTTTTCTGATGAAAGCAACACCTACAGTCACTCCTCATTCTTACCCTTTGCTTCACCCTCCATTTGGCTTCTCCGTGCGAGTATGTCTTCCTCTCCCAGTGGAGGGTGACCATCCCTCTCTCCTGCAGCAGCGAGGAGCACACCTGCCTCATGAGCTGGGACACCAGAGCCAGCTGGGACAGGGACAGGCTGTCCAGGAAACTGGCCATGTGGCACAGCACCTCGTAGGGCAGCAAGCTCAGAGAGTCGTCCCCTCCTCCTGCCTGACCTCCTCTCTTTCTCTGAGTGGCGGAGGAGACCGCTGTGCTCCTGGACGGCTGGGAGGTGTCACCCAAAGAGACAGGGATGATGGGATGCAGGCTGAAGCAGCCTAGATCCTCGCTGAAAGCAGAGTTGAAACTGCGGTCTTTAAAGTTGCATTACAGTATATTTTTACAGCCCTGCATGGTTGTAATTTATCTGCAGGGAATTAAAAGGCTTCTTGAATAATATCAGAGAATCAATGATGGCAATACTAAGACTTAATGGCTTTCAACCGTTGCTGGACACTTGACACCTCTAACCTATTTCCACTTGTAAGGACTCTGTAATGGAGGGCAGTGCTAAAGGTGAAAGGATGCAACTATACAGGACTTCAGGCCTAATTCACCACTCTTTCTGCTTTGTTTGGAAGAAGACGATCCTTCGCAGTATTGGTTTAAAGAGCACTACACTCACTACAGTATAACACTGTCAAACTCAATAATGGACAGCAAAAAACATATTTCACACATTCTTCCATCTTGTCAAAACCTGGTGCATACATTGCCCATAATGCAACTTGACTGCCAACAGTTTGGTAGGGACATTCAGCTGTGTTGTGGTAACAGTGGCTAATGTAGCCTTGAGCCGCTGGCCCAAGCAGAGATGAGGAGCAGGAGCCCTACAGAGGTCTGGTAAGCTCACTTCTTTCTAACTCCACATGCACAGATTTTTTTTAGTTTTAAATTTGTAGTCTTAAGACCCAACTGACACTGACTCAGTGACATCACCTTAAGGCAATTTATCAGATTTTACTCCCAATTCACAAGTCACAAAAGGCTGTATAGATATATCTTCTTTCACACATATAGTAGTAGTACACATGTGTATGTACACACTATTATGTGTAAAGGTGCTTAAAAAGTCACCCTTTAAGTTTGATTAAAGTTGTTGATTCTTAAATGCAACTTTAAAGTGACACTAAAACTTAAATCTGCTGTAATCAATCTTTTTATAATAACAATGGATCAGTTAACTGATCTAATTAAAGGACCAGTGTGTAAGATTTTGCGGTATCTAGCGGTGAGATTGCAGATTGCCACCAACTGAAACCAAGCATGAAGGAGAAACTACGGTGGCTGTACAATCAGCGAAAGGCCACATCCGCAGCCAGTATTTGGTTTGTCCCTTCTGGGTTACTGTAGAAACATGGCAATTCAACACGGCGGCCTCCATGGAAGAGGACCTGATCCCCCTGTAGATAAAAACGTCTCATTCTAAGGTAACAAAAACACAACTTCTTATTTTCAGGTGATTACACACAAAATTATAAACAAAAATATACATATGAATACTATAAACCATTGCTGAATGTTACACACTGGACCTTTTAACACAATAATAAAGATTAACTATTAGTTTTATCTCACTTGTACATGACATTGGCTTCATGTGTAGAGGGCTGCAACCTCTTCTGGCTGTAGGTGCATCCTAGGTACGCCAGGGGACATCTCTGCTCGAACCATCCATTCACACCCATCTGGATGTCACTGTGGATGTTCCTGCACATGACAACATTGAGTATAAGACGGGTGGTGTTTAATGCATTAGGACAAATCAGATTGCGTCAGTGAATTCTACAGAATAGAATAAAGTAACAATGATGATAATAGAAGTACGTTATAAACCGTTTTATGATCTAGTATGAGTTTAAACCCAAAATTTGATTGATATTGGAATTTTTTCCCATATCTTACTTGATTCCTCTATGAAGGAACTTAATATTTTAGGACACTAATATAAATTGTTACATCCCCATGCAGGCAGGAATAAAAAAAAAATACAGATTCGAAAAAAGCAGGAACCCACTTATAATGTTTGACATATTCTCTGCGCTTGAAGGTGTGTCCACAGAGGAAGGTGAAGGCGGAGCTGGCCTTGTGGTGTCGGCTGGTGACGCTCTCCACCTGCAGCTGAAGGTGCAGCTCCAGCGGTTTTGCAGCGGTGAGGTCAGCCAGTAACGTGTTTCTCCCGAAAGGAGCAGACAGGAAGTTGTACGTCTGTGTGCCTTCATCTTGTAACAGACCATCTGTGCATCTGCTCTCTGCAATAAGGTGACCCCTTTGCTCCTTCTCAAGGGAGCACAGCAGGGAGGCCTGAGGAATAATGATGAATAATGATGAATAATGATGGCCCTGAACTCATCTGAACAAGTAAACTGATGTATCTGCTGCAAATTATGGTGTCCTGTTTTAAATATGGCTTGATTATTGATTAATTTAATTATTTCTTCAATTAATAGATTCAAGATGATGATTATCTGTATGATGAAAACAGGCAATTCCATCATATTCTCCCACAAAATATTCTATCTATAAAATGTTAAAAATATTAGATTACAATGTCCCAGAGCCCAAAGTAACAATCTTCAAATTACTTTTTCCAACCAGCACTCTAAAACCCAAAGAACTTTTTTTAACTGGCACATTTTTGGCAATTTCTTTAGATTAAATAACAGATTTATTATGAAAAACTGTTGTTGATTAAAGTTCTGTTGATTGACAAATTGATTAATAGACTAATTATTCCAGCACTGGTTGCATTTGTCAAAAATGTAAATAAGATATATTTATACATAGATGTGTAATACAATTTGGCTTGACCGTCTCTCAGGAAAACCCACACTTAAGACATGTAAAGGGTTATAATCTTTTTTATAATAATAATAGATAAAATAATTGTGTAATGTGAGGGGTGTCACTCATAGCGATGAGTCTCAGAACTCAGCTCTGTAACATCTTTCGACTCATTGTTCCGGTTTATTGGCTGCAAACTTTACTGTACTCTACCTGCACGGCGCCAAACAACATATAAAGAGCAGCTTGAGAGACAGATATTTCCCACAGGAGATGGCAGAGACCAAAATGTATTGTTTATTTCTATTTCTTTAATGTCTTGTTAGCAGCTTGAGCAACTGTAACACTGTTCCCCCGGGGATCAAAAAGTATTTCTGATTTTGAACTAAACTAAAGGAATTGTGACTTTTTGTGATAATATGTCAGCATCATGTTCTCAGCTTGTTTAGACTGCCCCCAAGTGACCAAAAACTCAGGTAAAACTTCATAATAACAATATGTGCGTATAAGTGTGAATAAGTCTATATGAAAAATGAATTTCTCTCTCTAACCTGAATTTCCTCCCACACTGGCATCTCCTCTAGCGCCACCCCGAGGTCGCTGGTGTCCACAGCTTGACTCTCCCTCTTGTAGAAACCAGGGTTGCGGATGCGGCTCTGCCTGGCAGAGAAGCTGGTTGGGATTTTAAAGGTACGCACAGTGATGATCTTCATCGGCTCCACATGTCCGTACACAAATGTCTTCAGCTTTCCAGCGAGATAGGTGGCGGAGGATGTCGAGGAAGCCATGCATGCACTGCTCACCTGTCTGCAGGTGTCTGATACTGTGGCACCCATACAGGTATCTGCTGTATCTTCCTCTGTCAGAGTGGTCAGGCCCTTTCCTCTGCCTGCAGCCAGTCTCTGCTGGTCTCTGCCTGCATTAGCTGCCCCTTCAGTCTCCCTGCAGCCACCCATCTCCATACTGAACATGCGCTCCCAGGCGTTGTAGTTTTCTAAGACATCAGCATCCACCCCCGAGCCTATGGCTATAGCCTCTCTCTCCTCCTGGGTTAGCTCCTGCTCATATTCTATTTCAACCTCATCTTCATCCTTATCATCTTTCTCATCATGGTTATGGAAGTCAAACTTGTTAAAAGAGTCCCAGATGGCTTCCTTTTCAGCTGCCTTCGCTGCTGCCTTTTTCTGCTTCCTCCTCTCCTCTTCCCTCCTCTCTTCCTCTTTCTCCTCCTCCTCCACACTCTGGATCAACTCTGGGAAAAGTGTCTTCATCTTTAAGGAGTGAAACAGGCGGTCCTGGTCGTTCAGGGCCATGGCCAGGTCCAGACATCGTCCCTGCTCTCTTTCCATCAGCAGGTTTTCATGCAGCTCTGTGTTTGGATAAGAATGGGCGTCGTTGGCCGGCCAGCGGTTCCACTCCATGGAGCAACACACCACGCTGGCCGGACACACCTGGAGGTGAGCTGCCTGCG